TGAACATGAGACTGAGAAGCAACTCCGTGTCTTTTGCACAGTGTTTGCCTGGTGCTAGACCGGTGTAAAGAACTTATAAATCTTATCTATTTGTATGCAAATTCGTGGACTGATCTTATTTTTGAACAGACTTTTCTATCTTCAGTGTGGGCTTGGGGTGCAGCTTTGCTTTTTCTGTCAGTTTTGCCTGTATTGTGGCACTCTGGGCCGAGATTACAAAATCATCCCCCAGAGCTAAATTTCTGCGACTTTTTCAGCATCATCTCAGCCTGAGGTCTGCGAGGCACCAGAGCAGCCAGACAACCCAGATGTAGTTTTAGCACAAGAAGGAGCAGTGGCATCTGCTTTCTGGGGAGTAAAAGAAGATGCTCGAGTCTCACCTTTCTCCTTTAAGGTGGTTATATATGCTGGCAAGCCACCAGCTCGCGGGGCCTCTAGAGCCACGCCTGGCTCTTTGCCTGAGTGTTTCTGCAATTCAGAAGTGAGCCAGAGAGCTGCTGACCTCTGTGAAGGGCAGCGAGTCTTCCTCGCTGCATTCAGCGAAAGCTTTCCCGTGCCCTGAGACAGGAGGTGAGTCCCTGGCTGGGGCTGATGCTGAGGTGCCCCAGTCTCACATAACATTTGGGGACAGGTTCTTCTTTGCATGGAATAGGTGTCATGTGTTCGTTAAAGCTGTTTCCAAGTCTCAATGCTCTCCGAGACAGCAGTTGGGCTGTTTATCAGTAATATATAGGTTTATTTTCCTATTTGCTCTTATTTCTTGGGTATCCTAGCACCGGGCGTAGCGTAGCACGGCTCCTTGGAAAAGCTCTTGCAGTGCTTTACATAACTCTTCCTGCAGAGTTGACTCCGGGCGCTGGCGCGAGTGTGCAGAGGCTGTAGCTGTGCGAGGGAGGGTGGATGCGCTGGTTTATGTTCTCCTTGGGAGGCTGGAGTTAAGGAAGCTGCTTTCCAATCCCAGCCTGCTTGGCCAGAAGCGTGCGGGAAGGGAGAGGAGATCAGAGTGCTCAGATCAATTGCCCTGAGTGCGAAGAAGAGGAAGGGAGAAGATGACCCCTGGGGCCTAATTAGCATGCTGTGTAGACATTTGGTGTCATGAACAATGATCCTATTATTATTGGGCTTCATAATTAATAGATAATGAATAATTAATGAAGCATCATTTAACTGGAGTCTGGACTTACATTCAAATAGAGGTTTTTGCAGTCGTCAGGAAGAAATCCTTTTCCTTGTATTGAAAAATGCAACACGCTTTCAAGTGCAGTTGTGTGTCTTCTTTTAATCCCTTAAATATTTAACTGCTGGGATCTTAGCTCTGAGGTGCTTGAGAGGAGAGCTGCCAGCCCCGTTAGATATCTATGAACCAAGTTTGCCAGGCAGTCTCCATTGTAAATCTTTTTTTTTTTTTTTTTTCCCCAGCCCCAGCAGCGTTTCTATTCCTCTCTTTCATGGTGCAGCAATTACAAATGGGCTTCCTTTCCCCCCCTCTCTCTTTCCTTTAATTTGTCTTTTCAACTCTGAGTGCCATAGGGTCATTTGAAATCAGGAGGTGCCCTGCCCAGATAGTGTTAATATCTAATTTCAGGGCCTATCAGATACAACAGCAAAAATAATTCCAAAGGGGGAGCTTCCAGAAGGGGATGCTGCAGCAAAAGGAGACATCAATGGGGTTGTCAAGCAGAGACTCAGAACGCTCCCTCTTTGAAAGCAGGGGCAACACATCCCTGGCAATGCTGCTCTTGAGCCTGTAGATTAGAAACTAAAATCTCCTTGGGGAATGGCAGCTTCCAAAAGCAGCCTGATGCTCGTGGCTTTATTCTGATGTGGTCATTTGCGTTTCATTTTGAATGAAGTTGCTGTTTGCACAGTAATCAGCAGCCACTGACGTGCCCAGGGTGGACAGCATGCTGACAGGCTCCGATCTGCTTGTGACTCAACTCTGAATAATTAAGTGCCGCTCTTTGCAAATGGCTGGGGTTCACGAGGAAGTCTTAGGAGGAGAATTAATCTTAAGGGAGGAATGATTTTTTAAGGCATGGTGTAGCAGCTCACCATGCAGTGTGACCACCGAGGATGGGAAGCGTAGTTTGCAAGTCTGCTGATGCGATAAGGGCAGAGCCTTGGCCCAGAGCGAGGGAATGCTCTGAGCTGGGAGGTGCGACCCGGTGGCTTTCGTGCTCCCGTGGTTCCAAAGTACGAGGTGGTTGTCCTTCAGTTAAATGTCTCAATGCTGGAGCCATGAAATGAGTGTAGAACTTCGCGTGGGGATCTTGAGATGTGGTTTTGCTGGTCTCAATGGCTGTCTCAGATTTTTTTAAAGTCTTTTAACGTCTGCTTATTACAGTTCAGGACCTCAAGGGTCTTGGCTATGAAAAAGGGAAGCCGGTTGGTTTGGTGGGTGTGACGGAGCTCTCCGATGCCCAGAAGAAGCAGCTGAAGGAGCAGCAGGAGGTAATGCCCTGAAATGATTTCCAAGTTCGTTTGTGTACCAGCGTATTGCATTGCAGCGTGGCTGGGTTAGATGGGGAAAAGGGAGCTGGAGATAGCAAGGAAACTTTCGCCCACAAAGAAATCTCTAGGATTTGTGCTGGATGCCGTAGAATCATGTGATGCTGCAGTCAGCAGAAATATTAGAGGACTTTGGGGAATATGAATGAAGCCAGCCAATTGCTGTCCTACCCAACTAAAACCCCAAATCTATAAGGTCTGCGGTGTCACATCTGCAGCTGGTTACGTATTCCTTCGGCAGTGGGGAGAAGGTGAGTGGATACTTTTGAGCTTTGGGGGAAAAGAGCAGAATTGCCTTTTGCCAGGACGCAAGGGTGATGTTTAAACTGCGTGGGGCCGGTCAGACGGCAGCAGCCCTCAGTGTTAATATCAAGGTAGTACTTTCAGAGGAACCAGCACATAATGCTCGTGTTTGATCTGAGAAGCTAGTGGGTCAGATCAAGCAAGATGACGGCCTGTTGGGGTTTGTAGTTGTCATAACCTGTGTTCTGTGCGGCAGCTGGGGCGGGTGCGGGCTCTGCTGCAGAGCTGTGTCCCCCTCTGTGGCAGCTCTGCCTGCGAACTGGTTGTCTTACTGAGTGCGACGTTGCTTCTCTTCCCCTAGATGCAGCAGATGTACGATATGATCATGAAGCACAAGCAAGCCATGCAGGAGATGCAGATGATGTGGGAAAAGGCAATTCAGCAGCACCAGCATGGCTACGACAGCGACGAAGAGGTGGACAGCGAGCTGGGGACGTGGGAGCACCAGCTTCGGCGCATGGAGATGGACAAGACGCGAGGTGCGTGGGGAGCTGCCGTGGGAGCGTCTCGCTCGCTCTGCGCTTGTGCAGAGGCCTCCGGAGGGAGGTGTCTGAGATCACAGGTTGCAGGGGAGTTGCAAGGTCACTTTTCACTGGTCTGTGCTGTGGCCTCCCTGCCTGTTGAGTGGAGATAATAACCGTCTGTTGCTGTGAGGCTTTGTGCTTCACAAACCCCCTGAAATTCCAAGTCAAAACCCAGTGTGTTATCGCTGGTTTTTCTCCTCTGTGTCTTGGGCAGAGTGGGCTGAGCAGCTGACCCAGATGGGCAGAGGGAAACATTTCATCGGAGACTTTCTTCCACCTGACGAACTGGAGAAATTCATGGAGACGTTCAAGGCATTGAAGGTGAAATAGCAGAGACTTTGCAGGGCGTAGCAATGCGTCAGACTGGTCCCGTAGCAGTGAGGGAAAGATCTCGGGCATGCCTAGCCTTTGTTCACAGCAGTTAGCTACCTTCCTTCCAGTCTGGAGGTACTCCTGCCCTTACACCAGGTGCTCTATTACTTCTGGAGGAAACAAGGGGTCAATTTTTTGCTCTGTAGCAGATGACAGAACAGACTATGGGGACAGTATTTGGGAGTTAACCTGAAATTACAGACAAGCCTCTCAGACTACCCACCATTTGTCTGCTGTCCCTGTTTAGCATAAGTGGTTGCTGATGCCAGGCAAGGAAAATTTGAATTTTTATCCAGACGATTGCAGTAAAGTAAAAATATAAAGCCTACAAAAGGCTTATGCAAAGCACTTCAATACCTGCCAATTCTTCCTAAACTGCAGAACTTCTTGATGCTGGCTCATCTCTCGTAATGTTTTCGTGTAACCAGCATGGGGTCTGATGTTCCCTGGAGATCCTGGCTTAAATAAGAGCTGTATCTAAAGCTTGATCCAGTGAGCAACTTTAAATTCAGGAGCTAAATATTTCTCAGCTTAATTTCACAGTAGCATTGTCTGTTTCTTGCAGATTATGTTACAGGGCTGCGCAGTGCTTCATCATTTACCCATTTCTTCTCTGTGGTGGTGTAGAACTGGAATCCCAAGAAATGGTTCTAGTTATTAATTGCTTGCCAAAACCATCACAACTTTTGAGTAGCTAAAGCTGGTTTTTCCCTCCTCTGACCCACAAAAATAAGCGCATATGAGAAATAACCAACGCTACTTTTTGTGTCTCTGCAGGAAGGACGTGAGCCAGATTATTCTGAATACAAAGAGTTCAAACTGACTGTGGAAAACATCGGTTATCAAATGCTAATGAAGATGGGCTGGAAGGAAGGCGAGGGACTTGGCTTGGATGGACAGGGGATTAAAAACCCAGTCAGCAAGTAAGCAGAGTTCTTCTATTGATTTAGTCCTTTCCTCTTGGGCTGATAATTGATGCTCCTGCCCTCGCCTACTGGAAGCAGCTGCAGTGAGTGTGACTGTAATTCATCACTTGAGCAGAATATGGAATCCTCACAGCAAAGGAGAAAAATCGTTTCTGATCTCTTTGGGGCTCCCTCCCCCCAAGACCTGGGTTTGTTATTTTATCTCAGGCAGGAGATAGGATCTGAGTCAAGAGTATTTTGGTTCTAACCTCATAGTGCTGCCCTCCGAGACGTGCCTTCTCCCCAGTTTCCCCATCTATAAAATGAAGATACCACTTGTCTGCCCCTCACCTCTCCCAGGGCGTGTCATGTCCTTAAAGTCATTAATTTATTGAAGTATTAAAGAAGAGGCCTTTGGCATCTGAAGCACCGTAGGTGCCTGCTGGTTAGTCCCTGTCGTCCTGGGGGTGAAGGGTGATTGCCAGCATACGGGAGATGTTCCAGATCAGAGAGCTTTGGGTGTGACCATGCAGCTGTCTTGACGTCACCCTTTTGCACAGAAGTTTTCTGATTTGATCCCACTTTGTGTGTAATAAAGCTTTGTGAGATTTCTGCCCAAAAATAGATGAGCCTCTCTTTTTAGCTGGATCATCTGTTGGTAGCATATGCTGAACTTCATATATTGGGGGTAGGAGATACTCTGAGTTGGTTTTTAGCGTTAGATCCTTTTACAAATAACAGTTGTTTATTTACTGCACAAGAGAAAGTATCTCTACAAAGCGCTTCTGCTCCTCTGTCGCAAGAAGATCTCTCTGGTGACCTGCTCATTGGTTCAGAGAAGTCCTGTGATAAAAGATGGCTGGGATCAAAACCGCCAGGCTCGCGAACAGCAGAAGGCAGGCGGCTTCTGTCCATCGCAGGGTTGAACATGGGCTGTGATTTGCTCGGGCTCTGCGTTCTCTGATGTTCTCAGAAGGTGCTGCTGCAGCTGGAAAGGAATTGCTTCTGCTTTGGGGCTGCTCTGGAGTGAAGGGATGGGAGGCAGCACGTTGGTTAATAGCTCAGTCTCCTCCAGGCAGCGAGGAACAAATCGATGCGTTGGGTTGCCGAAGGTTAGTCTGACGGTCAGAGCACCGTTCAGCGGGAGGTGTCCAAAGCACAGCTGGTGTTTCTGATCCAGCTGCAGAAGGTTAAGGAAATACGTCGACTCTGCTGCTTCTGTCTAACATTAGCGAGCGTCATCGGTTTGGAAGGGCAGCATGGAGCCACGGCAAACGCAATAAGCTGCTGGGTGTTAGCTGTCTGTCGTGATGCAGCGCGCTGTGTGACGATGCCCAGCGCTCCCTGGGTTCTCTGAGCAGGAATTTCTGGTGAGGAGGCGGGGGATCTGTCAGTCCTGCTCACCTCGGAGCCTTTGTTCCCTCTTTCCAAACAGGGGAACCACGACTGTGGACGGAGCTGGTTTTGGCATCGATCGTCCCGCCGAGCTCACGAAGGAGGATGATGAGTACGAGGCATTCCGTAAACGGATGATGCTTGCCTACCGCTTCCGACCAAATCCATTGGTAAGGTGACCCCGAAACCAGTGCAGACACAGGGACAAATCCCTTGGGGTTTCTGTGTGGGTCTTGTAGGGGTGGGAGGGTTTCCAGTGCTTAGCCAAGACAGCAAATGCCGTGGAAGTTCCTCTTTGATTCTCTTCTCATGCTGAATAGAGTTATCGCTACCGAAACATCCATGGATGCGCAGTTTTCCTTGCTGTGATTTTCTTTTTTTAATACAAAAGCCCCTGTTTTCCCTCTGCTATGTACCAAGCAAAACCGCTGTGCATAAAGGAAGCGGATGAGCTGTCGGTGGATCCATGGTTTATTTTGAAGGTTTTCCTGCTTGCAAGAGGCTTGTACGTTTGCCTCTGCTGCATTCAGCATGCCAGCTCCATTTGTAATTTTTGATGGGAAACCTCCGATTTCCCTGTCAGAAATGTCACGTTTCAGTGACTTTTCCAGATAATTATGCTCAGATGCTCATTGTTCTGTGAAGACAGCAATTTTGATTAATTTTCTCTTGTTATTCCCCACAGAACAATCCACGACGACCTTACTACTGAGGGTGTTGTTGGGACAACGTATTTTCAAAACAATTGTAATTTGACTGTGAAATGTTATGAAACTGCATTATCATTCTCTTATTTGCTAATATTGTAAAACGTATTGAAGTCACCGTGCCATCTTTCACCCCGAAGCAAGGCCTGCGAGCCCCAGCTGCACACTCGAGTGTCGTGACAGCCCTGTCGTAACAAGGTCTGGGCAGTGTTCGGGGAGGAGAACGGGGCAGGTGGGAGCGGGGATCTTTACCCAGAGCCCTGCTCGCAGCAGAAGGGCAGCACCAAAGATACCGGTAGGAGCAGCTCAGGGCTCCGTTCGTGTCTAGCTCAGTGCCGTGTTACCAGCAGTGTGGTTTTTGCCCGACGGCAGATCCTCCGTTGTTCAGCTTGTGCTGCTCTTGGGGGTTTTTTTGGGGTTTTGTTTTTTTTTTTTTAATTGCAAATACAACACGGGACTGTCTCCGACCCAATTTTTGGGGCTGTTGTTCAGGCTGAACCCTGAAGAACCACTTTCTGATGTTGCCACGAAGCCAGAAGCATAGTGTGACCTTCAACTGACATTGCAAAACCCACGCCTGGTGGTTTTACCTCTGCCCCGTGGAAGGTGAGGTGCGGATTGGTGTGGAGCAAGGGGCGCGGGGCAAGCTCACTCGGCATCAGAGGCGACAGCCTCTTGATTTCTTGAACACTAAGTTCACCTCCAGTTTCCCAGCACCACCAGAGACTTGCAAACGCTTTCTGTGGCTTGGGGGATGAAGAACCAAGCCTTCAGCCAGAGTTTGTCATTTGGATTTTGTTGTCATAAGAAACCCCTCTACAAATACAAATTTTCTTCATTCATTTTGTAAATAAAATAAAACTCATTTGTTCCTTAGTTTTAATCACTCAGTTTTGGGAAGAGGGGTCTTGCTGTGGGTTTTCCCACACCTAGAGATCTCTCTCCTTTCGAGCATCGTAGAGAAAACAGTGAGGTTGGTTCGTTTTGGTTTCTTTTGCATTTGTTTTTCCTTCGGTCTGAATACGTGGCGTGTGATTCTCTTTTGTTAACTTTTCTTAACAACGTCGAGTCAAGGACTTGGCTTTCAATAAAAACCTTGAACCAGTGACTTCAGGAGGGTTCATTCTGAGAAAAATCAAAATGTGGGAGCACTTTGCAGGAGCATGGAGCTGGGCTCGTTCCTGGGACACCGCACGGGCAGGAATTGTGGAAAATTGGGAAATAAGAAATCTGGCAGCTCTTCACTGTGACAACTGCGCTTCCCTGGTGAGCTGGGACACCCGTCCCTTCGGTTTCTCCCTCGGGGTGTTGCCGCGGGGTCTTGGTTCCGGGCTGGCACAAGCCGGAGCTGCCGCGTTGTCCGGAATTCCCAGCGATGCCTGTTTCCCTGCCAGGCTCTCTGCAGCCGTAGGGGCTTGCGGCGAGGTGGCTGGAGAGCGGAGGCACTTCCAGTCTCTTTATTCCGAGCGTGTGCAGCGTGACATCCTTTCAGCAGGGACAGTGACCTGTCACCGCGTGCCCTTAGAGGCCGGGAGAGCGGGGAGGCTTTCAGCGATGGCTGAGCTGGTCGTTAGGGCTAATCTGCTCCTACAGCCATCGCCGCGTGTTCTGCTGGGGTCACGTTGGCACAAGTTGTTTTATTCCTTTATTTCAGCACCGCAGCCTTGGTCTTCCTGAGCCCCTTCTCTTGAGGACGCTGTTCATGAATACCTGCTTTGCTCTGCTCTCATGTTTTTTTTCTTACTGTAAGCCGCACGCTGTTGCCCGTGCCCTGCCGCTGGGAGCAGCAGGCGGGGGTAACAGGACCCGGGCGAGCCGCTTCCCGCAGCCCTCCTCTTGCCATCGTTAGCCACAAAGCGGGGGTTTAGTCTTCAGAAATGGAATTAAACGAGCGGCTGCTGCGGCATGTGCAGAAGGTCACTAAAGTTGGACTTCTTTTTATATCAGAGAGTAAATTCCCGGTGCCCACCGTACGAACGCGGTGCCAGCTGCCCGGCCGGCGTGAACGCGCGGGTGGCTGAGCACGAGCGCCCATGGTGAGCGTGGCACCAGGGGGACACTGTGAAATCGCCCGCCCGGGGAGAGGCGAGGGAGTCGGGGATTGTCCCGAGCGGCCGTTGCAAGAGAGGGAGACTGAAGCGACACTTGTCGAGGGTTC